CCCCCCCTTGCCATCTCACCCGAGCTAGGGGCAGGGGGACACGAGAGGGGGGGGTGGCAAAGGCCACATGCAGACTGCAGGCTGGACCGAGCACTTGGACTCGAACTTGTGTGCCAGGAGGGGCCCCCACCCCTCCCCTTTCGGTTTCCTCTTGTTTTGTTTTCTATTATTATTTTTATTACGAAGTTTCATTCTTGTTGAGAAAAAAAACAACGAACTTTTTGTATCGATGAACAAAATATTCACAACTTGGGCAGTTGTGATGCGAATTGAACAAAAAAACCAAACACTTAAACTTTTTTTTTTTTTAGGTCTCAGAGGAGTTTGGGACTTTAGGGGAAAAAAAATCAACCCAGCACCAGCAGCTACCAACCACCATTCCATATCCTCACTTGAAAAGCATTAGTTACAGTCCAGATGTGGGAACTCTTGAAAGAAGTTCCTTATTGTGTTTGTCTCAGACCAGTGTAAACAAACCAGCCAAGCCACCACCTTGTTAAACCTGTAAGCTTTTAAAATTTAATATTTTTGCCAAGAACATGCCTTGATATAGTAGGCTTCGTAGGCTCATTTGTTTGTTTGTATTTTAACCAAGTGATGTGTGCCTGGAAAAAAGACCTTTGCATTCCAAAGTTTCATACTGGGTTACTGGTTACATTGCCACCACTTACTTAGTGGATGTTTAATTTAGAAGCGTTTTGTCTGCTCCCTCTGGAAGCCCTGGGCAGAGCTTAGTTTGTAGTTGTTGGGGAATAACTGCTGAATTTTTTAGCTGTTTTGAGTTGATTCGCACCACTGCACCACAACTCAATATGAAAAAAACTATTTAACTTATTTATTATCTTGTGAAAAGTATACATTGAAAATTTTGTTCATACTGTATTTATCAGGTATGAGAAAGCAATAGATATATATTCTTTTATTATGTTAAATTATGATTGCCATTATTAATCGGCAAAATGTGGAGTGTATGTTCTTTTCACAGTAATATATGACTTTTGTAACTTCACATGGTTATTTTATTGTAAATGAGTAAAAAAAATCTTAATTTAAGAGATTGTATGTAATATTTATTTCATTAATTTCTTTACTTGTTTACGTAAATTTTGAAAGATTGAATGATTTCCTTACAGAAATCTACATGCTGTGGAAGTAGTTTAAGAGTTTTCTTAGAATGTATAATGGTTGTAGCCCATCCAGCTATAAAGAAAAAGTGACCACATACTTTGCAGCAGGTTTAAATGTGGCATGCTTTTCTCATTCCATCTTTATAAACCAGCAAAAGATGTTTTTGTTTGCTTATTCCACCAGCTCTACTGTGACATATTCTGCATATACAGACATGTAGCAATAATGGGGGGTAGTCTCACAGTGCCTTTGGAAGGGCCAGAACTAGCCTTAAATCTTCCTCAACCAAATAAGTATTTTGTCTATTAGTGCTTGAGAGAATTTGAATGTAGGATGGGTTCAACTGCACAAAAGGAAAAGATTTTTACCACTTTTTTTTATATAGATAAAGTGAAGAGGCCACCTCTTAGTGCTAAAAGTATGTTATTACATGAATATGCCTTGTTCGATTACAGAAAATTCCAAAACTTGTACTATTTTTCTTCCCATGTAGAAAGGCAGGAATGCTTTCCTGACAGCAGGTGAATGAGCAGTAGCTTTAGTTTGTATGTACGTAGGTACAGTTGTGGAGCACTATGTATGTATGTACTCTGGACTACTTGGACAGAAGTAGGTATTTGAATGTAACAAGACAAGTCAACTTGAGTTGTAATATATTTTGGGGAATCAGTTCACTACAGATTGTGACTGTAAACATTGTACTGTAAATGTTTTGTAGTTTTACCCCAATAAAAGTTTTGGGAAAAAAAGGTATTCATGTGTAAGGTAGCTTTTTTTTTTTTTTTTTTTTAATGGGACTATCTAGCTTCCCATCATTTTGTCAGGCCTGGCCCAGGTCTTAGAGGGGGTGGGGGCTAGGATTTAGAGAGCTAGCAGAGTCTGCCCCTCCATAGTTTATATAGTAAATTCTTTAGCTGAAAAAGTAATTATTTGGACTGTCAAGGGCATTAGCTGTTTCTCTTGGTAATAAGATGCATCCCAGTGTGGGCTGGTGGCAAGGCCAGGCTGGGAGGCCTGAAGGGGCGTGGCCTGCCTGTGAGTCATCAAGTGGGTCACGTGTCTGCAGTGGCAGCTGAAGATTTTTTTTTTTTTGCTGGGACGCCCAGGGAACTAAACTGCTTGCGTGGGGAAAGGAGGGCAGTCTTGCCAGGCTGTGCTAAACTGGAGGTGTGGGGGGTTAGGTCGGGGATTTTCCTGGACTTTGGAAAGCCTGGTTGTGTCCTTGTCCAGAGAGGAGGGAAGATCAAAGAGGTTAAACTTATATCTGGGTAATGTTTGTTTATGCGGACAGCTTCCTCTGGGAGTGAGAGCACACGTGTTCCTTATGCAAATGGTTAGTGTCTGAGATGACCCAGTGGCCAGAAAGCAAATTCAACCCAGGTGTCTGGTAAAAGGAAGGAAAAAACCTACCAGTTTGCTGATTCTCAACATAGTTTAACAAAACCTTAGGTTTTGGGGGGGTGTTTTTTTTTTCCTACAATCACTTTAAAAACTTTAAAAACGGGTTCATAAATCATGTTTTTTCTTCATCTTTCTCCACCCCCACACAGTTCAGACACTTTTTCCAAAGTAGGTAAGAGATTTAGCAAGTTAGTTTTCTTATCTACAACAGCTGGGCTCTATCAACCAATACTCTCTCTCCCTGCATAGCCAGCCGCATCCCCTCACTCCCTGCATAGCCAGCCCGATCTCCTGTGTCTCACAGCTGAGCCGGCTGCGGGGGTGGGGTGGGGGGGCAGGGGGAGGGCAGGATGCCGGCCCCACCGGGCTCCAGGCAGCTGTTTCACGTTAACGATGATTGCACTGGTGTTAGCTGGAGCGTTTTGGTGCTTGGCGCACGCTGCCAAAGGGGATGAGGAACAGTTTCAAAGTTCTCCCAGATGCCCGGCCCTTGGCTGAGGGCCTCAGCAGTGGGGGAGGGGAAACCCGAGGCCCAGGAGGGCTCTCCAGCAAGGACCCTGCAGGCTCGCTGGCCTCTTCACCATAAAGAATGTGCAATGGGGAGGAAACGTCTAAAATGTGGTGCTGTTGAGGCCAGGCTGCGTGTCCAAGGCCTTGCTTCCACTTCATTCCAAAACTTACTTTCCTTAAACAAGTACTTTTGAGCAACTGGAATGTTCGACTTCTTTTGGGGGTAAGCCACATTTATTTTTCAAAATTGGTTTGTTTGCAAGCCCGACTGCTAAGATCTGATGTTTTGTATTTTAGACCCAGTGGAGTGTGGAAAGCTTTGGGGGGGAGAGGGGGGGATCATTCAGAAATTTCCTCTTGCCACAGATCAATGGAGGGTATGTAGGTCATTGTCTCTGCAGCGGCTGGAATTCACAGCAAACAAAACTCTCTACTATTGCTTGATCACCCTTAGGAAAGTTTTCGTGTAAACGAAAGGAACAAGAAATAACAAATTGCAAGTAAAGACAAGCCAGGATTTCTATCACAGGCTGGGGAGCGGAACTAAAACTGACTGGCTCAAAAACTGTGTTAACTCAAGATAAAATTCTTTTGTAGTTAATTGTGAAAACGAGCCCGTAATGTGTGTTTAGAATGCCCTAATAGGGTGGCATTTCCACCAGCTGTTTGAAAACGAAGGTGTTTTTTAAACAACCCAATTAGTGTGTACCACCTTCTAAATGATTTCAGAGAAGGGATGCATGCGTGGACATATTTTCTGCCACTCGCTCTGTCTGAATCTACTGCTGAGAGCATAAAAGGGGGAGGGGGGGCACCAAATAACTGTTGAGAAGGCCAAAGCTCTGCACCCACCCATGGGGATAGATGGTGGATTATGAGCTCTGCAGCAGCACAGGAACCCGGATGAAAGGGCCAGGCCTGGGAGGGCCCAAAGCAGTCAGGACTAACAGGCATAGCTCTTGGCTGCAAGTCTGGCCCTGCACCAGAATGCTCAGTCCTAAGATCCCCAGGCTGGGTGTGTGCAGGGAGGAAGCCCGCTAGAGTGCATTTGAACCTGGAAGGGAACTGTCCCCAGGCGCTCCCTCTTCAGTTTTGCTTGTGGTGACAAGAGTGGGGACAGATGTGACTCTGCCTTGAAAGTGGAAGTTGGGTCCCTCTCCCTTCCTTGGCCTTGCGAGTTAGTGGGAGCTGACTCGGCCCCTAGAGGGTAAGCCCAGGCCAGGCTTACCTTCCATCAGGGGCCTGTAGCCACTTTCCATTGTTACTACCTTATTTAATTGGGTTTGTTTTTTCTTGTTCGCACTCCAGGAGATGTGCAGCCCTGTGGCCATCCAGGGCAGGTCCAGTTCCATGCTGCCGGCAAGGCCAAGGAGGGAGGGAGCAACAGAGGGAGGGCCAGGGAGGAGCGAGGCCTGGCAGCTGGACAGGCCTGCCCAGGAGGAGCCCTGCGGGAAGGAGGCGGGTGGGGGTCTGGGCTGCAGGAAGCCACAGCACCTCCGGGTCCCACCCCTGGCCTAGGTGTGTTCTTCCAGCCTCTCCCGACAGATTGTGCTGGACCTGGAAAGCCTATGAGTGTGTATGTGTCTAAGGGTGTCTGCATGCCTGGAGGGAGGCCTGTGGGGGTGTGTCCACATGGAGGGCGACGTGTGTGTGTGTGTGTGTGTGTGTGTGTGTGTGTGTGTGTGTATGGGTCCCTGTCAAGGTGGGTGTGCACATGTTCGTAAGTATTACCCTGTGCAGGTGCTCAGGGGCCTGTGTGTGTGGTGTTTCCGTGGGGGAGTACTGTGGTATGGGGCTGTCTGTGGGTGTGTGGATCTGTGTGGAGTATGTATGTCTATAGGGGTGTGTGAGTCTATGGGTGGGTGTGGAAATCCAGTGGTGTGTGAATATGGGTGTGAGCTTGGGTGTGTCTGTTGCTCTGGCTGTGTGTAGGTGTATGTGTGGATCTGTGTGTGGGTGTGGGTGTGGGTTTGGGTGTGCCTGAAGCTGTGGCTGTGTCTGTGTAGCTAATGCTGTGTGGGTAGGTGTGTGGGTCTGTGGGGTGTGAGGGAGAACCTGTCAGAGTTGCTCTATGTTTGGGTCTGGAGGTGTCTGTGTGTATGGGCGTGTGTCCATGTGGGGGTCAGGGTGTTAACACCTACAGAGGAAAAGCAACCCCTTTTAGCTGGCCTCTTTCAAGCTACAAACTGCTTTCAAAACCCGGAAATGATGGTCAGGCTGTCATCCGCTTCCTGTAGGGCGGTGGGCAGAACAGGGCTGATGGGAGGGTGGCAGACAGGCCTCCAGGCCTGCAGGGACCCCCCGACCCACCCTATTGCGGGGCACACCTGCCAGGGACAGGCCTCCTGGGCCTGACTAGAGGGACATATTTAGAAACAGTTCTCTGGTTGGAGGAGGAAGGAGCCCGATTATTTTCATCTGTGCAGAAATAGCTGTCAGATAGGCGTGCTGGTGCCCTGGGGTGAGAGCAGCTCTGAAATAGAAGGGAAGATATTCACTCAGGCAGACAAGAAAACTCCTAAACTCGCTGAAACCGGGTTTAAAATATTTCTCTAAAAATAAGCTTTGTTTTCCTTGTGGATTCCTCTGGCACTTGGGCCCTTGTGTCAGGGTGCTTAGCTGGCCTGGGAAGCCAGGCGGAATTTTTTAAAAAGCAAGTGTTTCCCAGCTGTGGCCTTGGAAAGTTCTCTGTTTTTCATTTATTAAACTCCTAGTTTCCGGCTAATTAAAATGATTTTCAAATAAAACTCCCTGGCTGAGCAATATTTGATGAAACACAGAATTCCCAGTGACCCCCTCTGCAGGAGGCTGGGCTGGCTGTGACCCCTCCACTGGGCCGGTGCTGGTTTTACTCGGGGGAGCGAAGCCTTTGAAATGCATGCCCAAGGCCTTGTCTTACCAAACCCCACCCCTCCTGTGGTGACGGGTGAATGGCTGCTTGCAGGGCAGTCTCTGAGCCCTGCCCCACTTGCTAACCTGCTGTTTCTTTCCCTGCTCCCTGGCTATTGTTGAAGATTCAGGTCCAGTCGGGCCATTGTGCCAGGATTTTATTGAGCACCTACTGGATGCAACACGTTGTGAAGATGGAAATGCAGGCAGGAGGCATGTATTGCTGAGGGCCAGAGGTGGTGTGATTCAGAGTTGCTGGCAGGTCCCCCTCACTGCCCTGGGGTTCAGTCCACGTATCACAGGGGTGAGATGCTGGGACTGCTGACCTGGCCTTTCATTCATCCCACAGGCAGTTCTTGATCACCTAGTGAAAGCCTGCACAGTGGTAACAGATGAGCTGACCGACATCATCCCTGCCTTCATGGAGTGTACATAATGTTTTCAAGCTTCATTCCTGGTGTAGCTTGAATCAGCCTTCTTTCCTTCGTATGGCTGCATAATATTCCATTGTATGGATGTACCACTTTTGGTTTATAGACATTAAAGTTGTTTTCCTTTTGGCTGTTGTTGAATGATGCTGCTGTGAACGTCCATGTACAGTTTTTGTGTAAACATACGTTTTCAATTCTTTTGATTATATACCTAGAAGTAGAATTGCCAGATCACATGGTAATGTTTAACTTTTTGAGGACTGCCATACTATTTTCCAAAGTGATGCACTGATTTTTGTAACTATTTAGTGTCTGTTTTCCCTACTCAACCTGATGCATGTTTTATGATGTCCACTTAAAAAAAACATAACACTTGTTCACAATAGCCAAAAAGTGGAAACTACCCAAATGTTCATCAACAGATGGATAAATAAACAAAATGTGGTATATCCATACAATAGAGTAGTATTTAGTCATAAAAAGGAATGAAGTATTGATTCACATTACAACATGAATGAATCTTAAAAACATTATGTTGCATGAAAGAATCCAGACACAAAAGACTACATATTATGTGAGTCTACTTATATGAAATGTCCAGAATACGCAAATCCATGGAGACAAAAAGTGGATTTGTGTTTGACAGGGGCTCTAGGGGATGAAGGGGAATGATGCTAATAGATTCAGTGCTGCTTTTTGGGTTGATGAAAATATTCTGGGATTAGATAGTGGTGATGGTTGAACAACCTTGTGAATATAGTAAAATTTGTGCACTTGCGTGCTTTAATCTGGTGAATTTTATTGTATGTGAATTGTATCTTAATTTTTTTTAAAGTTTGCTCACGAATTGAAATCTGGGGTATGAAAGAGAAGGACAGCCCTAGCCACCTTGGCTCAGTGAATAGAGTGTCAGCCTGTGGACTGAAGGGCCCTGGGTTCGATTCCAGTCAAGGGCACATGCCCAGGTTGCGGGCTCGCTCCCTCGTAGGGGGCCTGCAGGAGGCAGTTGATCAATGATTCTCTTTCATCCTTGATGTTTCTCTCTCTCTCTCCCTCTCCCTCCCTCTCTGAAATCAATAAAAATATTTTTTTTAAAAGAAGAATAAGAAAAGAAAGAGGATGAGAGAGCCTCTGTCAGGAAAACCGACCTCGCTTAGGGTCTGGGAAGCTTCTAAAGAAGTAGGAAGGGCATAGGGCAAGTAACAGTAAGGCAAGGGCCGGCGAAGAGTTTTCCAAGTAAAAGGAGCAGCGAGGTGCTTGCATCGGCAGCACATCCACTAAAGTTGAGATGATGCAGATATTAGCATGGCCCCTGCACAAGGATGACATGCAAATTCGCGAAGCGTTCCTTATTTTTAGAAGGTTACTAGAATTGGCTGTGGTGATCACTTTGTAAGGTATATAGATGTCAAACAATATTGTTTCTATGTTGTACACCTGAAACTAATATAATATTGTATGTCAACTATACTTTTTTTCCGTTGTGAATCCTCACCTGAGGATATTTTTCCATTGATTTTTAGAGAGAGTGGAAGGGATGGGGAGAGACAGAGAGAGAAACATCAATGTGAGAGAGACACATCAATTGGTTGCTTCCCACATGCACCCCAACCAAACCAGGGCCGGGGATCGCCTACAACTGAGGTACGTGCCCTTGACCGGAATTGAACCCGGGACCCTTCAGTCCATAGGCTGACACTCTATCTACTGAGCCAAACTGGTTAGGGTGTCAACTATACTTTTTTTTTTTTTTTTTTAAGGAGCAGCTAGTACAAAGGCCCTGTAGTAGAGGGAGCATGGTTCCAGAGAGGAAAGGAAAGATGGATACAGCACCTGGGGCTGGAGAACAGAGCAAAGTGGCACAGGATGGGGCTGGGGCAGTGGGCTCAACACTCAAGAGACCACTAGCCTGCCCTCTGCCCCCCCCCACCACCAACTCCTGTATTAGAGCATATTTTTGGTCTGATGACTTCTACAGTTTGCTTATATTATGCTTTGCAATTTGCTATATTTCAGTTAAACATTTCCAATTAAATGTTTAAATGAAAAAAATTGTCCTTAGAACACCCCCTAAAAATGTTAACACCCCTGAGAGGGGGACTCATTGGGACCTTTCATCTCAGAGCTCAGTAGGTTCCCCTCAGTGGGAAGACCCGGGGACTCTGGAGTCAGAGGTGGGGAATGGGTCCTATTTTCTGCCAATTACCCACTGGGTGACCTTTGAGCCTCAGTTTCTTCATTATAAAAATAAAATGGGTTAATCTATTGTTGACCTTGTTTTTGTTGTAAAGATTAAGTGAGATAATATTGGCCAAACGTTTTGCCCCAGTGCCTGGAGGTGGTAGGTATTCAACAAGAACTAGCTGGCTATTATTAGCATTATGTTCTTCCTCTTTCTCTTCCTCTCTGCCCCCAGCTCATGCCCACAAGATTGGAATGCCTTGAAGATCCTCAAAGTGACTCTTTATGGAGCCCCTATTATGCACTAAAGCTTTATGTATGTTAATAACAACCTTTATATCTACTACACAAGACTGAGGGACTACTGCTGCCCCTGTTTCAAAGATAAGGAAACTGAGCTCAGAGAAGTTACATGCCCGAGGCCAAGCGGCTGGGGAAAGGCTGAAGTAGAATTCAAAGGAATCTAAACTGTTGCTCCTTCAGATGGCCCCAGGCTGCCTCTCTGACTCCTCTCTCCCTGCCTCCCTCCCACACTGTCTGTAAACTCAGATTTCCACATCTGTGCTTTAAAAACACAATTACTTCAAGCCATTCTTTGCTCAAAATCCTCACTGAGAATAAAATCTAAAGTCTTCGCAAGGCCAACCTATGAACCAGGAGGTCACGATTTGATTCCTGGTCAGGGCACATGCCCCGGTTGCGGGCTCGATCCTCAGTGGGAGGCATGCAGGAGGCAGCTGATGAATGATTCTCATCATTGAGTTTCTCTCTCTCTCCCCCTCTCCCTTCCTCTCTCAAATCACAAAAAAAATATTTTCAAAAATATTTTTAAAATAAAATATATAATAAAACATAATAATATATTTTTAAAAATAAAATCTTAGCAAGTCCTACATTATCTGTAGGACCCAGCAGACCCAGCCTTCCGGCCCCACAGCCCCTTTCCTTTCTGACCTGACTCCTCTTTCCCTCATCCTGCTCCAGCCACGCAGGCCTCTTTTCTGTCTCAGGGCCTTTGCACCTGCTGTTCCCTGTCATGCTCTTCTACATGGCCTGTTTCCAATTTTCTGTGAAGTGTCACCTTTTCCGGAGCCACCCAGACCACCCTCTCTAAAACGACAGCCCCATCTGGCATTTCTTCTCCCTCATCCTGCTTATTTTCCCCGTCTTTACCGCCTCAGCAACCTGGACAGCAGGTGAGCAGGAGCCCCAGGTGCTCCTGCTCCCAGCTACCATTCCCCAGAGCCAGCTTCTAAAGCACTTAGGTGATCATGCCCCTCCTGCCCGAAGACCCTGAAGGGTTCCCTCACTCCTTCAATTCCAAGCTTCCAAGCATGCTCTTTGAGGCTCTGCCTTCATGCTCCCCTGGTGTCCCTCTGCCTCCTCAGTCTCAGCTGAATCTCAACCTCACCCGTCCACCCACCCAGTCCCAGCCCCAGGCCCCCCAGGGCCCTGTGCAGGCCAGGCCTTTGTAGCAGCACAGAACACATTCCCCTACACCCCTGTCTTCCTCCCTAGCCTGGAAGTTCCTTCAAAGTGAGAACCGTCATGTTCCTCTTTGCACACCCCAACCTGCTCCTGAAAGGGCCTCAGTAACTGCAAAAAAAAAACACCAGTGAGAATGGTGCTGCCCTCTCCCATCTGACAGGCGACGCTCAGAGAAACAAAGACATTTGCCCAAGGTCTCCCAGCTCATGAATGGTGTGGCTACGATGCCACCCACGCCCGCACCCCATGCCAGGGCAGAGTGCCTGGCCGTTCATCAGGGGGGAAATGCACAGTTCTTAGTAGACCCGGCCTCTCGTTGAGTTTTTCCTTTTATTCCAAACTTATGCAGGCTTTTTCTGAATATCCCGGCTGCAGACATTAAATTCCAATATGGACAAATGGGAACGTCCCTCCCAACCTTCCTCAGTCCCACTCAGCAAAGCTGATCACTTGGTAACCGCTTTGTGTGAGAAGTTCCAGAAACTTGATGGCGCAGCTCTGTCTATAAATATTTACCCACACACATTCATTTATGGTCCGGCTCACTGAATGGGGCGTGCTGTCCTCCTGCCCTCACTCGCCGTGGTATAGTTTCCATGGGTGAGGCCCAGTGATGGCTGGGAGCGCTGCATTACTCCACTGCTGTGCGCGTCCTTGTGCACAGACCCCGGGTGAGTGTTCCCACCAGGCGAATCCCTGAGGCAGCATTGCTGAGTGGTGGGGTGGCTCCCATGTTTCTGGAGATAATCTGTATTTAAACCCTTGAAACTGCCCGAGCTGGTTTGGCTCAGTGGATAGAGCGTTGGCCCTCAGACTGAAGGGTCTCAAGTTCGATTCCGGTCAAGGGCACATACCTCTGTTGCAGGCCCTCTGTTGCCTCGGAGACAACCAACCGATGTGACTCTCACATTGGTCTTTCTCTGGCTCTCTGTCTCTTCTCCTCCCTTCCACTCTCTCTAAAAATCAAGGGGAAAATATCCTCAGGTGAGGATTAACAAAAAACAACAAAGAAAACCTTAAAGCCCAGCCAGTGGTTGAGCATTGACCTATGAACCAGGAGGTCAAGGTTCGATTCTTAGGGCACATGCTCAGGTTTCGGGCTCAGTCCCTGGTGGGGGTGTGCAGGAGGCAGCCGATCGATGATTCTCTCTCATCACTGATGTTTCTATCTCCCTCTCCCTCTCTGAAATCAATAAAAATATTTTTAAAATAAAGTTTACAACCACAATAAATAAATAAATTAATTTAAAAAACCTTGAAGCCTGCCATCCCAGTAACCCTCCAACAATGTAGGACTAAATGCCCACCCCCTCCACCTCTCTCGGTGCCTCTGAGACCATTTCCGCCCCAGCTCACTCCTTGTGTGGCTGTTCTGAATTTCTGGAGTCCAGGCACCAGGAGCTGCCCCTTGAGGTCTGGTCTTTCTGTCTCCTGTCCTGTTCTCCCGTCCTCCTCCAGTGGCTAAGCCCCATCTCCCCCACCTTGGGGCTGGTGCCAAAGGTGAGGCTGCCCCAGAGGGCACCTGAGGGCAAGGAAGTGGGAAGATTGTGCCACTAATTGTGACTGTTGGTGGGAGCAGCAGAAATCCTCTGAGACAATAGTGCTGCCAGTGGAGGGGGTGAGGCTGTGTACCAGCAGGTGCGTCTCTGTGAGTGTGTGTGTGTGTGTGTGTGTGTGCAGGAGTGTGAGTGAGCATGTGCTAGTGTGTGGTGTGGTGTGGTGTGTGTGTGTGTGTGTGTGTGTGTGTGTGTGTCCTAGGGGCAGTTATGTCAGGCGTTATGTAATGGAGGCACTCCCTGGGGCCAGCAAACCGCAGTGGTGTAACCGCCAGCCGGCTGAGCCACCAGAAGGAAAGGAGGGAAAATGTAAACACGTTCTGGGCCTTTCCCTGGCCCGCCACAAGCAGACCCTGGACAGGGCAGCTCTTCCGGTTCCCCATTCCCACCACCTTAAGCCCTGTGGGCCGGCCTGGGAGGAGTGATCATGGAGGCTGAGGAGGCAGGGGCCAAGGGACAGCACCAAGAGGGGAGCCAGCAAGGTCTCCCTGGGTTCTGGGTCCGCAGTGGGCTGTGCACCCCCCGCATGAGGCATGCTGCCTTTCTCACCCAGAGCTGTCCTCTCCGAAGGGCCTTCGAGGGGCTCCCTTTGTCCCAGAGCCTCCGCCTGGCACAGGAGCCCCTTACCCTGCCGTGAACCATGTGGCTGGCTGCTCACCTGCTCCCATCCTTGGGTGGCCTCAGGGTGCAAAGGTGCATCTCCGCCCTGCCCCCCACGCCTCATCTGCAGGCCAGCGCATGCCTTCCTAGCCAGCTCCCAGCTGCTCAACGCTGCAGCACCTCTTCCAGGAAGCCTCCCTTGCCTGCTCCAGGCCTGTTCTTTCTGCGCTGAACTCCTGAGGCGCCTCTGGACATGCAGCCTGACATCTGGCCACGTACAATGGTCCCTTGTTCTCCAGTTGTTCACTTTAGTAATAACGGCCGCAATTATGCAGTCCATTCTCTGCCAAACCCAGTCCCTTGAGGTGCCCTCATTATCACTTGTCATCCTCCCGCCAACCCTAGAAGGTGGCATTCTTACCGCCATTACATAGCCGAGAACCCAAGCGGAGAGAGATGCAGTGAATTATCCAGCTACACCTGGAAGACTCTGATGGCAGAGCCTGTGTTCCTAACCTCCCAGAGCTAAGCTCCGTCTGCCCACATCTCTAAGCTCTTGGAGGACAGGAGTCTCTTCCATGTCCCAGCTGGACTCCTACTAGATGCTCAAATAAAGGTCGTGGCTTCCCCAGTGGCTGGCGTATAGTTGGTGCCCTTTCACTACAAGTTGCTGGAGAACTTGGTTGGACAGAATGGAATGGAATCTTTTATTCAGAACAATAGAGTGATAAGTTAAGAGCAGGGTTTTTGGAGTCACACAGCTGTATGATTGTAGGCAACTTGTGAAACCCTCTGAGCCTCAGTTTCCTCATCTGCAAAATGGGAATGGTGTCTTCCTCACCAGGCTATTGAGAGGATTACATTCAACGCTGTGTATGCTAGGAATGGCCCAGTGCCTGGCATGCATTTGGTGGTCAATAAAAGTCTGCTGCTGCTGCCACCTTCCCCCCAGCCCCTTCAGTGGTATTTCTGGACAAGCCTCTTTCCCTGTTTTATAGGTGAGGAAACTGAGGCCCAGAGAAACGTCTTTCCTGAGATCTTGCAGGGTCTGGATTGCAACTACAAGTGACTGATTCTTAACCCGGACTCTTCCCAAGACAGGCCAGTGTTTTCATCCAGGACAGTGTGGGTAGAGGTGGTGGGATCAACTGAAGAAAGGTATCGTTCTAGACTTTTAAAAAGTTTCTGATCAGCTCAAGGGTAGTGTCTTCTAAGAAAGGGCACCCACATCTTCCCATCCCAGTGAGGGGAGGGGTTAATCAGGGAGGGCTTCCAGGAAGAGGCAGGTATGAGTGCAACCCTGACCCTTAAAGGAGGAGACACTGTGGCACAGGCTGCAATACTTGGGCCTCCATGTACCCCGTCTGTGCTGAGTTTCCCTCTGGAGGCAGAGACAGGGCACAGGCCTGGCTCTCACAGGGTGAGGGGCCAGTGGATGGTTCCTTCCTCCCATCCTCGTCCACTTGAGCTGTAGGCTATTTGAGTAATGCTAACCCTACCACCTCAGGATGACCTTCCCACTACAATGTCAGTGCCAGGATTTTATTTTATTTTATTGTTGGTCTCTGTTACTGTGTTCCCAGTGCTTAGAACAGAGCCTGGCATATAGTAGGTGCTTAACAAATGCTTGAAGGAATGATTGCATCATCTCTACCCACCTGCCAATTGCACATTCACACCAGGTGTCTTTACGCCCGCCTGCATGTCCCTGCCCGCAGTGCCCTCCCAAGGCCTTCGTCTGGCTGTATCTTGCCACCTCTTGCAGAGAGGCTTCCAGAACGACGTAGACCTGCGCACCCCCTCTGCCCTCAGCACAGTGCGGGTGGTGCCCAACCAAGTCGCTCTCCCCTTCTCTTAGCTCAGGGTGGTTTCGGAGGAGGAAGGTGGGTGGGCAGGCCAGCTGCCTGGGGCTCCGTAGGGACCGTGTGGATAGTCCAAGGCTTGGGAGAAGGGGGCTCCTGCTACCTGCTGCCTTGCCCAGGCCAGATGAAGCAGCAGGGCCTTTTGCA